AGGGGCAATGAACTGTGAGCCCCTGTGGGCCTGAGGTCTCAGCTGTGCGGTGTTGATGAGGAATTAGCAGAGATTTGAGTCTATCTCTGTGGACTTTCCTAGGTCCCAGTTTTAAGTGTCTGACATACTTAGAACCCAGAGAAAAGGAAACTGGGCCACAAGGTCGCCAAAGATCCATTGCATGTGAGAGCCCCAAACCCAGAGAGACATTCTCTTTGCTCTACACAATGGTAAGACCAATTGTCACCAAGAAGTTATTATTGTTCTTAGGGACTGTCTCCATCCCATATACTCTGTAAAGAGACTAAATATTTTGATGAAAAATGCCTGGATATTTTTCTCCCAGATTGAACTGCCAAATAAACCTTCATATGTAGCCTTGAGTATTCTTGACTTTCCAAGCTTAATGTTTTCCTGGTGTGATGTAGATTATACATCTCCCCAGCTGTGGCTGTGCTTACGTAGGTAACACGTGACTCCCCCTACAAGTACCTTTACCTCGTCTGAACGAGGTAAAGGTACACAGCACTCTGAAGGTTGTGCAATATGGCAAGAGGAGCTTGAGAGCTAATTGCCTATCTTAGGTGCCAGCCAGATTTATATGAAGAGGCTCCTAGATGCCAATAATAGACATTATTTTTCACGACACTTCCATTTCCTCAAACATGGTAAAATTTCCCATTTGGAACCATGAATGGCTTTCATTGTCACCACAGAAATCCAAGTTCATATTTGGTTTTAGTTCCCAGTCATAATGAAATTTGATGCATGCGCTCCTAAGTCAGATGACAACAAACTAACCAATTGAAGAAGTACACACAAAGAAATACACAGAATTAATAATTTATACATGAGAAAGCAACCTTGTGGGTTTTGTATCATTATCATATAGGAGTACAAAACAGAAGATAGATATTCATTCAAGACCTGAGGATTGAATAAAAAGTTTATATCCTGCCATGCCATGGATGAGTAGTGCTGAAATTTGAACTTGCAGGAATAAAAATTGCACCCTTTTTCTCCTTGAATAAACAATAAAGTGGAGGGGGTTTTAAAAGTTACAATCTCAGGTTTCCACATGATGGATCTGAAGTGAAAGTCGAAACGACAACAGTGTAGACACTGACGGAGTGGGTGAATACTGCCAATCCATGTCTTTCTTTCAGTACTGACCCTACAAGATCAGAAAGCCGTCCTTCCTTGGAAAGCTGATGGCTTCTGGGAAAGAGGAAGTCGGTTTTCTTTAACAATGTGGCCTCTAGGAGATCGACTCCAATGGATGGCCACGTATCCAAGATTTATGGGCAGTGCAATTTGGACTCAATGCTTTTAGAGAGGAAAAAGATCACAGAGTTGGGTTTGGGTGAATAGAAAAGGGTTGGTAGGCCTGGGAAGACTGGGGAGGGAGTAATAAGAAGTCACACTGTATGAGATTGTCAACTAATAAGAGTAATAAAGTAGTTAATTAATATTTTAAAAAACAAAGATCACTTATAAAAAGCCAATGCTCATGTAGGGTTACTGAGAGGCCACAGAATTAAAGAAATGTTTCCTGAGTAAATTAGAAGCATGTGAAACTTGGGGGAGGACAAAAAGGGAGGGGAGAAACAGTTAGGGGAGCAGAGAAAAATGTAGAGCTCAATTAATATCAATAAAAAAAGAAATAAAGAAATGTACTTTGTCTTGGGATGGAAGATGGGAAAGCAACATCAGTCTTCTGGACAGAAACAGAGCAGTGTGTGTGTGTGTGTGGGGGGTGGGGACAAGACAGTTCACACACCGATCCCTTCTCTCTTTTGTTTTGCTTTGTGACTCCATTAGTCTTTCATGGAAGCCATTCGTGCGTATAAGTGAATAATCTTGGTTTCTAGTTTCTACAAGGATGAACAGAGTATGTACTTTCATGTTATCTTAACTCCAAACATATTTATATATTGACTCTTCAGGAAGCTTTTAAAATATCAGCTCTTAGCTAATCTGTGTTCTCAGCAAGATGGAAATTACCAGAAAAAGAAATGCCAGAAAATATTCTGATGTCTGTGAGGGCTTAGCATCTCAGCACAGAAAGCAGACTCCTCAGAGTATGGTGGGCCTTGGTGTGTGATAAGTAGACTTCTAACAGACACAGACTGGGAGGGGGAATACTGAAGGCTGGAGCGGGCACAGGCAGTAAACAGGGAGATATGACTTAGAAACAAAGTCCACAGAGCTGGACATTAAAAAATAAGTTCTGGTAACCTCACAGTAATTAAACTATGTTGTAAAAATAGCAATTTGTATACTTCAAAATTGTTTGGTTAACATAGAACCAAAAATATCCCTGCTGAAAATAAATGAGAGCATGTCTGTCAATTACATTGATTTGATCATTTCATGATGTGTATATGCAGAGCAATATACGGTATTCCCTAATAATATTCTTCCTTTTTTTATTCTACAGGAAAGCATTAACGTAAGACACATGGCATTTTCACTGCAAAAAACATAGGAACTATACAATTTAAATTTTGAAAAGGCAAGTATGATTAACAACAATAATAAAAACATGCCCTGTAAATACTTTTTTCCATAGTCTATTTTCATGGTTCTGAGCTCTGCAGAATGTCACCAAGATTTGATACCAGGTCTGTATTAAAGACCTCCTTGCTGGGAACCTTGGAAAGTCACTTCAAGGTGTAGGTCCTGCTCTTCCGATAATAAGATTTTGTCTACTAGAGGCCTTCAGATCTGCGCCTCCTTCCCCAGAGTCTGTGTTCTTCTTGTTGCTGGGGTGGGAGGGGGGTCTATCTCTGCATTTTATTCTGTTTTGCTGTCTTTGTGTTGTCTTGGGTGGGATTAAGCT